ATCACATAGGAACTAAAAGCGGGAAGTAATTAAAAGTCTTTATCTCTGTAGAGGACAGAAGGAATTGGGACTGGGAGCCCTGGATGGCATAGTGGTTATGTGTCGGGCTGCTAACTGTAGGGTCAGCACTTTGAAACCACCAATTTCTCCATGGGAGGGAAATAGGGCTTTCTGCACTAGTAAAGAGTGACAGTCTCAGAAACTCACAGGGGCAGTCCTACCACGTCCTGTAGGGTCACTGTGAGTTGGCATCGACTCGATGACAAAGGGAGTATTTTATGTGGCTCCATACTATTTGACTTTCTAAGCATGATCTTCTTTTATTCTAAGAATAGGCAAGGAGAGGAACACATTAGGGTAAAATAGACATCTGGGTTAATGTGAACAGCTATCACTGAGTACCAAATTTGAGTCATTTTCTCTGGTGCACAGTACATTCCAAGCTGGGCTTCTAACAGCAAGGCCAGCAGTTCAAACCAACCACCTGCTGCTCGGCAGGAAAAAGGTGAGGCTGTCTGCCCCCATAAAGATTTACAGCCTCAGAAACCTAAAGAACTGGTTGTATTCTGTCCTGCAGAGTCGCTGTGAGTCAGAATCAACTCGATGGCAGTGAGTTTTAGTTGAGCTTATGTCTGGCATACAGAACACTGGTGGTGCTGTGGTTAAGTGTTCAGCTACTAACTGAAAGATCAGTGGCTCAAGCCCACCCAGCAACTTCACAGGGAAAAAGATGGAGCGATACGCTTTGATAAAGACTGTAAGCTCAAAACAGAAGGCAACTTATGTAAGCCTCTGAGACATAACCAAACACATTGAGGGACTGCATTGCTGGACCTCGGGGCTCAGGATCCTATTTTCAGGATACAGAGACCAGACTCGATGGCATAACAAAGTCCACAGAGACTTTGGTGAGTAGTGACTCAAAAGACTGTCCTTGGGCATTCAGACCAAATGAAAGAACTGAAAACCCAGAAATGAACCCACCAGCATACAGGTTATGGGTCTTTGATAAGGGCCCCAAAAATATCGAGTGGGAAGCAGATGCCCTCCTTCAACAAGTGGTACTGGAAAAAATGGATGTCTACCTACAGAAAAATGAAGCAAGACCCTTACCTCACTCCATGCGCAAAAATAATAAACTCAAGGGTCAGGGTTAGGGTAGAGAAAAATAAATAAATAAACTCAAGGTGGATCACAGACCTCGAGGTAAAACCCCAAACTATTAGGGCCATCAATGAGGAAATTGGAACAAACCTGAGAACTTTGGAGCAGGGAATACATAAGCTATTGGAAGAACACAAACACAGAGGAAGCACATGTGGGATACAGAAAGGTTATTTCCGGGTTGTCCCCCATATTATGTGCCAAACCTAAGATGCTGCTTGCTAACACATGGTAAATGGCTATATACTTGGTCAACTGCTTAAAGGTTTATCTCCCTGAGGGTTATCAGCCATCAGACCCTTTAGTCTGTCCCACCCTAGGCGGGCTCAGTGGGGCTCACTCCATTCTGATAAGGATAGTGGATTGTTCTCCTGAAGGAGAGCCCAAAGACAAGGTCAAGCCAACTCAAGGAGGACCAAGGTTAGGCTGCCATCTTGACTTTAGAGTCCGCCTATCTTGTCACATGTGTACTCCTAGTGCCTCTTACTATTGGGTGTACACCCCTAGCTCGTCCCCCTCCTGTTGCATGTATCCTATAGTACAACTCCTTCCTATTACGATGTAATTAGGGGTGTTTACACATCCCCTAAGAATATCTAAGCCGTGATTGGAAATACATTTGCTCTCTTGTGAGGACCTCACGGCCATCCCAGAGGAGAGCATTCACATGCCTTATTTTGCCTGATGTCTCTTTAATTTTACCCCTCAATTACACAACTGTCTCTTGGACCCATTTGATGGTGGGGGCTGGGACCCCACAGGTCCCAAAGGCTTTACTCCATCCATGTCATTACGGTCATCTAGGACTACGTAAAAGCGGCAGGCCCTCACAGGACGGATTGACACCTGGGCTGCATCAATTGGCTCAGGCACAGGAACAATTGCAAGGGTGCGCAGAACTATGCAGTGTTTGGTTCTGTTGTGCATGGGGTCGCTGTGGGTTAGAGCGGGCTCCATGGCCCCTCACAGTAGCAACAAAAGGACTATGGAAAGATGAGGTGTTTGTGTCCCTTCAAGGAAACTGGATCACTTGCTAATAATACAAATAAGACATACAGGACCCATGTGGTATGGATCATGCATACAGGGTGTGTGGGACTCTAATGTGGAGGTAGGTCCTTTTTGCTATCCCACTAGATTGATAATGAGGTATCTCAGAAACCTGAGGCCCTCAAGTGATACCAGAGCTGGTAAGGTTTTGGGGTCTCCTGGATCATGGAACTTAAATGCAGGGATTTGGGATACAAAGGTGGTAAACTCCTGGCTGTTCTTTCTTGTTAATAGTGAGATGCCCCTGCCTCATTCTGAGATGGCAGCAGCAGATAGACCAAAAGACAAACATGAGACAGACTGATAGGCTTCCTGGTCTAGGGAGCAAGAACGCTGAGTATCTTGTGAAGGTAGAGGATGTCATGCACTGCTCCATACCACACCAGTTCCACACTTCATATTTCCTTGATATAGCCTAACTTGGTGGTATTAGGGTTAGAGATTATTGTGTTACATCTAAAGCTCTTTGAAAATAAGGTTAAACATTGCTTAGAGTGTGGGGATTTTTTTTTGGGGGGTGCTAAAATAAAAAAAAGACAGACTATCTGGTTTTGCATATTTTTTATAATTCATTTCTATTAGTTCTCACTTTTAAGTAGTGGTATTAATATTATAACTTAATCATTGTCATATTAAATTTTATTATTATTTTTGTTTCTGTCTGCAGATCAGCTCTTCCTTTGCTGACTTAATGAAAACACTTGACCAGAATATTTCAACTTGGAAACCCCACTTGCAACTTACCTGCTATGAAAAAAATTCAACAGTTTCCAAGGCTGGAAAATCTTGGCGGCGGCAGATTGCCACATCTTTCTCTCACAGAGCAGCTGTTGTGCTCAATGCAGCCGGATTCATTGTTCTGTTCCCATGGCCCAAACTAGGAGCCCTGGTGACATAGTGGTTACACATTAGGCTGCTAACTTCAAGGTCAACAGTTCGAAACCAACAGCCCCCTAGGGGAGAAAGAAGCTTTCTACTGCAGTAAAGAGTTACAATCTCAGAAACCCTCTGGGGCAGTTATACCCTCTCCTATAGGGCCATTATGAGTCAAAATCAACTCAATTGGCAGTGAATTTGGTTTTGGATGGCTCAAATTGCTAATGACATTGTAGGTGGGTGGGGTGTGATGGGGCAACAAAAACTTCAAAGTCTTGCTAATGTTGAATTAGAGAATAGAATAGTCCTCAAGTGGGGGGGGGGGGCTTAAACTGCCCTTAGTAAGGAGGTTGAGGGTGGGGCAGGGGGCAGTTAACAATTGTCCCAGGAAACTTTTTGCACATTCCCTTTCTTGCACAACTGGTTCTCAAAAAGAATGCTTATACCAGGTCCCCTACAAAACCAATTTTGTAGAATACTGATGGATGCAGGTCCCATTAGAAAAATAATAATAATTTATCATTTATCATGTATCCATGAGGGGAGGAGGGTGTGGGAAGGAGGGGGAAAAAGGAGCTGGTACCAAGGGCTCAAACAGAAAGAAAATATTTTTAAAATGATGAAGACAACATATGTACAAATGTGCTTGATACAACCGATGTATGGATTGTTATAAGATCTGTAAGAGCACCAATAAAATGATTTATTTATAATTAAAAAAAAGAAAAAGAAGTAATATTGAAGCTTCTGGGTATCTCATGATAATCTTGTGACTGATTACAGAAAGCCCTATAGGAAATCAGAAAAGTTCCTGTTCCAATTTTTGCATTTAATATTTAAACTGACCTCTGACCTCAGCTCTCTGGAGCGCAAGGTGGCTTCGCTTTTATATTGCCCAGTTCATACTGTGCTGCGCCCTGGTGGCGTTGTAGTTACACTTGGGCGGTGATCCTAAAAGTCAGCTGTTGGAAACCACCACTGCTCAGCAGGAGAAAGCCTGGCTTTCTACTCACTCCGGGCAGTTCTGTCTGACAAGGTCGCTGTGAGTGGGCATCCACTTACGGCATCCTACTGTTGTACACACTTCCTTACTTCATTCCCGACAGAGTATCATATCCTCTATCATTGTGTTTTTGTTGCGTTCAATCGTTTCTCCTTAAGATGAAATTTTCTAAGTTAAAGATACGTATTATGTAATTGGGCAACAATTGCAAAGGTGGTGCGTGTGTGACCTAGGGACATGCTTAGGGGTTAAAAGCCAGTACTCCAGAATCACACCACCTACTTTGAAATCCCGACTGTTTCTAAAATGTTGTGCTTAATGGGTTGATCAAGATATTTATTACCTCTGTGACACTCCACTTCTGACTTTAAAGTGGTGCCACTCGGTAAATTTGTGGTAAGAACAGATGGGATGTGCAAGGCGGCGCTTACCCGGCGTGTGGCACAGCCTTTTATGACTACCACCCAGCCTCCTGGTCTCCAGACGTGGCTTGCAGCTCGAGGTGGCCGGCGCAGGGACAGACAAGGCGGCCCGCACGTGCAGACCCGGCGCAGCTTTGTGCGCATGCTCCGTTCTCCAGGACCGAGTTCAAACGCCCGCCACTTGCGCGGGAGGTGCGGTGACCGCTCCGCTCGACTTCCGTTTCCGGGGCAGTGAAGCCGCTTCCTTCCGGCAGCGTGACCCGAGTGCGCTGGGTCGGAGGCTACCCGGGCTGGAATGAGCGGCTGCGCAGCGGGTAACCGGCGGCGGGTCTGTGGCCTCCGGCCTCGGGAGGCGGCAGGGCTGAGCTTGGGGGTCCGGGCGGGGCGGGCGCTACCTCGCAGCCAGTCTTCGGGCCACAGCGTTGTTCCGAAGTCCGGACGCCGGCCCCGGGCCACACCACGTCTCTTGCGGGGCCTCTGGCTGCGTCCTCGCCATCCCCTTCCCCAGAGATTGGGACCGCGGGTCTGGGGGCGGAAGTCAGGAGATGGGCTCTATTCCGTTCTCGTCGCTGATGCCTTTGGAAGGCACATCCTTTGCCCGTACCACTGCCCTGATGAGAGGGTGCAGATGGTAGTCGCAGTGGCTCCGAGCGCCTTCAGCACAACATTGGGTTTTTTTTATTCGTGATCAGGACTGCACACATAAGGCTGACTCGCTCTGCATAGGTTATTGCGCATCGCGAACTTGTGAAAATCTGGTGAGAGTTACCGATTCCCACCTTTTACAGCCCCCTCAAGGGTTCGGGTGCATTTAACTTGACATGCAGTTTCAGGGTGGTGGAGTGGGTAAACGTTTTGCTGGTAGGTCATTCATTTTTAAGTGCATGAATCTCGCCCCATATCAGATAGAGGACGAGAGATTCCACGTTCAAACTCGAACTCTCTGCCAGCAAGTCGATGTCGACTCGTAGCAACCCCGTAGGATGCAGTAGAACTGCCCCTGTGGTTTTCCTGCACTGCACATCTTCATGGGAGTAGAAAGCTAGACCTTTCTGGGAAGGAGGCTGGTGATTTGGAACTGCCTGCCTAGAGTTGCCCAACTCCCAGGGCTCCTATACCTGGGATAGTCTCGGTAACGTTTCCCAACCACGCCTTTGGGGAGGTGTGATGTAATTCCCATTTTACAGTAAGGAAAGTGAGGATTAGGAGAATTAACTTGAATTCAATCATTCAACCCTTGCGTGGTAGTGAAGAATTCAAATCCTTCCCGATCTCCGACACTTCAAAACCCTGTGTTCTTAAGAGTAGACAAGAGGACTAGATGCAGAAATGCATTTGAATGTGCTTAATTAGCATCTGTATTTGGATTGTGAACTGTTGCAGTTAAGAGTTTGTCTATTATCAACATAGATGACCCCCAGTTAAACTGTATATGCTGTGGGAATCCTTTTGCCTCCTATTTTTCCACGATACCTTCTAGTTTAATAATATTATGCATTATACCTTACTCTTTGCCCATATTCATTCAATCCTGAGTGCTTTATCAGGTGACTTGACTGAATAGGGCTACATCAGTTATGTTCCCTTGTTCTTCCTGCCCTTCAAAGCAAAGCAAGTATACTGTGGTTGGAAATATGGTAATGTGAGGTGATATAAAATCGGGCTGTGTTTTCTTTGTCGTTGTTGTTACTGCCCTTCCAGGGGATATTGGAAGTGCATCAGCATGTCTGACATTCAAGAAGCCACTAACCAACTTTTGGATATAAGTCCTCTTGAGAACCAGAAGTTTATACAAGTGGCAGAACGTCACCACAGAAAAGAGACGGAGCTCCTCCAAGTCACTATTGGAGCCACCGTACCTACTGGCTTTGAGCAAACAGCTGCAGATGAAGTGAGAGAGAAACTGAGGTCATCATGCAAAATAAGCAAAGACCGGGGCAAGATCTATTTTGACATTTCAGCGGAAAGTCTGGCTCAGGTTTGCATGTAACTTGATTTTAGTAATTTTCTAAATGGGTTCAATTTCCAATTACTTCCTAGTTACAGTCTTTTGGGATGCCTGTGCTTTTCTTTGCCTCAAACCAAGCGATTTAAAAACGGCGGTTTACTTCATTTTCTGTTAGGCACTAGTTTGTAAGTTTGGCTAGTACTGATTCAGAGATTTGCGCTAGTTTCAGAAATAATTTCTGGAATTTCCCTGAAGATGAATTTACTAGAAAGAATCTTCCTGTGTGACTTAGGGAGAAATTCCAACTATCTGCCACATAGTTTTTGGTTTATTTACTTTAGCGGTGTGCTCTAGATCATAGGTTCCCAAAATTAGTTGGCCTACCACCCCTTTAAAAAAAATTAGGGAGAGATAAAAATGAGCTGATACCAAGGGCTCAAGTAGAAAGAAAATGTTTTGAAAAGGATGGCAACATATGTACAAATGTGCATGACTCAATGGATGTATGTACAGATCCTGATAAGAGCCGTAAGAGCCCCCAATAAAATGGTTTTTTAAATAAAAAGTATTCACCACCCCCTGGCAATGAAATACATTTGTGCGATAGCCCACAGTCCAGGATAAAGTGTAGGTATCTGCTTTTGTAGTTACCCCCCCATCTCCCACTTGGAAAACATGTTCTAGATTTTGGTGATAAAGCACAGTAGGAGAGTTTTGTTGTTTTCCATTGGTGTCAGAAATTCCCAAACGGAAGTCATCAGGAAGCACCGAAGGTGAGAGGGAAAGGTTAGCCAACTGCCAACCCCTAATGAAAGCTGAAGTATCTCATTACCACATTAGCAACATGAGGGTGAGGACTGTGGAAGCTTTTTTGGTATATATTTTTTACTTTTTACTATCATAGCTCTAGCTAGCATATAGCAGGCACCCAGTAAATATTTGGCATGCACTGGTAAACAGTATTTTTCATTCACTATTTTGTTAAAAGTTCTCACCAGGTCTGTGGAGATGCGCACTAACAGTGTTGTTATTCTCAGTAATCATCAGGCTTTAAGAAGAAGGAGCAAACTGTCGCTTGCTAGTCAGAAAGCTGGGCCTCGGCCCTGTCCTCTGAACTACAGCCAAAGGGAGTGTGCTACATAGAATTCCCATCGAGGGAAGCACGATGAAGTTCCACTTAGTGGTTTTCGGCTTCCCCTACCCTCTCCAACCCTCCTTGCCCCTGTTGTTCAGGCTTCTATCTGTCCTCCCCCCATCTGCTGGGGAAAGCAGATGGGTAGTCAAATAGATGGTAGACTGACAGGTTTTTGTTTAAGTCGCTTTTAGCTGCCTTATAACCATTGTACTTCATTTGTAGATTTAAATGTTCATAGTTTGTGCTTCTCAAAACTTTCAGAAATTTGTCTTTTTTTTTCCTTTCTCAGGTTCATTGCTTGAGATCAGTGGATAACTTATTTGTGGTTGTTCAGGAGTTTAAAGATTACCAGTTCAAAGAAACGAAGGTGAGCGATCCCAAACATGTCATCTTTCCCCAAAGAGATGATTTCCAGTTTTTAAATTCTGTCTTCAGCGTTGTTCCTGCTTTGTCAGGATACACAACGCTGGGAAGCACTTGCCATAAGATCCAAAGATATTGCTGACAATCCGTTCCAAGAGATATTCTTACAGATCATATTGAAAATCATCAAAACTTACACTAAAGCAAACTGTTGGATTTACATTACGAAGGATTTAAACTTTAGATTAAAACTCTGTTGACGTATATAGTTCCAAAATAGAATTTCTTCCAGACTGAATCAAAGAGCAAGTGAGTTTATGTCATCTACAAATAACACTTTCGCTCAGCATTCTACGTTTACCCCGCTTTCTTTTCCAATTGCGGTTTTGAAATAAAGCCAGTCATAGCGAAATACTCCTTCAATTAGAATAACAGCTTTGTCTCCAGCTTGCACTTAGCTTCTGATTCCCAAATATTCACTGCTGCCTCAGCTGAAGATTGAAGATAGATTGCAGTAAGATCTTCCTGTTTTTTCGCAGTGCTTTTTTGGGTCAGGTTTTTCAGAGTCAAATGCTTAAACATGTTTTCGTATCTATTATGACCTATTTTGGAAATCACCTCTTCTTAAAAGTCATGATGTAGTACCTAATTCTCGATTGTTGTTTACAGCCAACAGGTGACCTGACTTTCCAACCAACACATCCATCAATCAGTCAGATAAACTGATAGGAGCCCATAGTCTAGAAAAGTACAACCATACCTGGAAGAATTCAGACTAAAAATGATTAGGAATCTTACTAACTAGAATTGCAGCATAGAACCCGTCTGGCTGGAATCACTGGAAACTAGTAAATCAGAGGCAGGATATTGGTGGTGTAAAGGGGCCCTGGTGTTGGAGTAGCTACGTGTTGGGCTGCTCACCGCAAGGTCAGTAGTTCAAAATCACAAGCCATTCTGTGGAAGAAAGACGGCTTTCTACTCCTATACAGAGTTTTAGTCACGGAAACTCACGGGGGCAGTTGTACCCTGTCCTATAGGGTCACGATAAGTCGGCAGTGACTCTGTGACAGTGAGTTTGGGTTATTAGTTGTGTGTGTACCTGGTGTTACTCTTTGCTTTAAAGACCTATCTATTGTTCAGCTGAAAATTGACCATAGGGGTAAAGTTATATTCATGAGAATACTATGTATTCCAAAACCCAAACCAAGCTTGCTGCTCTTCAGTTGAATTTCACTCATAGTAACTCTACAGGTCAGAGTAGAACTGCTCTGTAGGGTTTCTGAGACCCTTTCCTTACAAAGGAAGCAGACTGCCTCCTCTTCTAAGGAGCAGCTGGTGGGCTCAGACGAACTTCTCAATGAGCAGCCCAGTGCTCAACCCATTGTGCCAGTCTACACTCTTACGAGCTGCTTAAGGCAGATGTTCAGATCTGAGCAAGGAAAAATAATCTATAGTCTTACCATAAGCAATTGTCTAAGCTGTGTTGCAGGTGAGGCTCACTGCCATCGACTCAGTGACCTGACAGGGCAGGGTGGAACTGCCCCTGGGAGTTTCCAAGACTAACTCTGTTAAGAGTAGAGAGCCAGGGCTTCCTCCCGAGGAGTGGCTGGTGGTTTCAAACTGCCAACCTTGCAATTAGCCCTGTGTCTAACTTCTGCCAGTACCACTAAAGACCTGAATTTTGTTGAATTTTCATTTAAATAGCTACTTCTGGCTACTGACAACTCTATTGGACAGTGTAGGTCTGGACCACCCATTTTGACATTGAATGGTATATTATCCTTTAGTAGTGATCAACACAAAGGCCTCTCTACCTTGCACTTACCTCTTGGGAGGAGACTTGGAGTAAACATGTAAACCTACTGCAGTAAGTGCCAGTGGAGGTGGACAAGCTGCCCTCTAGTTTCCCTGTTGCCACCAGGCAGGGGTCAGACAAAGCCTCCATGGTCCATCCTTCTTTACCTATTCGGACACCATCTATTACCCCCCCCCCCACACACACACACACACCCATGCTGGCTTCAATAATTTGTTACAGTGGCCACCTAGAACGTGAAAATAGTACTCACACTTAAGGGGGGTTATTAGGGAGGTTAATAGGTTAGCACAGGGCAGAATCAGCCAAAAGTAAGGGTATTGGTCTCAGTGAGCAGCCATGACTGACCCTCCGTCCTTGGTCTCGGCCAAGTGGTCTCTTGGCCTCTACCCTCGTGGGCCAGGAAGCCAGCCTGCCTGTCACTGTCCCACCATCCCATAGGCTTGGGCGAGATGAGGTACCTCATCATCTTGGTGCTGCTCCTCCTCTGAGTTTCCGTGCAACAGTCTGTGATGCAACTGGTCTCAGTGGCCTCTGCCACTCCAGAGATCTGGACCATTCTCTCCCAAGGTCCTCTGGGTTTCTCCCCTCGGCTCAAGCAGGCTCACCCTTTCAGCCAGGGGGTAGGGGTACTAGAAACTGACCCAGCCTTTCTATTAGTGTCACACGTGCCTTGTTCGCATGGTTCCAAGTCATTTGGTGGGATTTCCAGAACTTGAGTAGACAGACATATTAAGAAATCTCATTCCACCACACCTCCTAACTTCAAATACAGAACAAAGCAACCCCCCACCCTGCCCTGCAGCCAAGACCGTTGCCGTCCAGTTTATTCCCATTAATAGGGCCCCCTGTGTGCACAGAACTGCTGTGTGGGATTTTCAAGGCTATGAGTTTGGGGAAGTAGATCATTAGACTTTTCATCCAAGGTGTTTCTCAGTGGGTTTGAACTCCCAACCTATTGGTTAGTCGTCAAGCACCTAACCATTTGCCACCCAGGGACTGCCTAACTTCAGATCATGCTCCAGAAATACGGCTTAGGAAGCTGCCTTTTAAAAAGAGCAGATATTCAGAGGAAGAGGATATGCCCTTTAAATTGCAAGTAAACAAGAAAGGAGTTAGCAGCACGGAAATACTGAGTAACAAATGTGTTTCCGAGCAGAGGGGGAGAGGAAGAGAATGGAGAAAGGAATTAGAAAGAAGCAAGATTTCGCTTGTGTTGCTCTTCTTTAAAGAATTTGGATTTCTGTGTGCAGTGAAAGGCTATTGGAAGGTTTTAAGCCATGTAGGGGCATGGCTGAATATATTTAAGAAAAAAATCACTTGATACTATTCAGAAGTGGAATGAGTAGATTTGCTGATCCTTTATAAAATTTTTAGTTTTAAATAACAGTTCATTTTATGCTCAGCACAAAATTTTAAAAATACAAAAAGCAATTCAGTCAGTGAGAAGTAAACCTTCATCCTCCATCCATCCATCATCTCCTTTCCACTCTGTTAATGGTTTCTTTCTGCTTGAATTTTTTTGGTCTACCATCCTATTGTTTTTTTTAGTGGTTTAATTTGTAATCCCCCCTTAATTGAGTATTATTTGTGTGTTCTGTGTGGCCACTGTAACAAATTATTGTAGCTACTTTATCAGTGTGTTTTGTCTTAATTAGTATTTTCTACTTGATCTCTAGGTTCTAATATTGCAATGGCTACACAGAACTCTGGGGTGGGGGGAGGGAATGATCCTTTAAAGTAGTTCTCAACCTGTGGGTCGTGACCCCTTTGGGGGTTAAACGACCCTTTCACAGGGGTCACCCAATTCATAACAGTAGCAAAATTACAGTGATGAAGTAGCAGTGAAAGTAATTTGATGGTTGGGGGTTACCTCAACACGCGGAACTGTATGAAAGGGTCACGGAATTAGGAAGGTTGAGAACCACTGCTTTAAATTGTTTATTAAGGAAATTAACAGATTGTAATGCCATTGAGAAATGCTTAGGGTTGAGTTGTTTATTAGGACCTGTTATAGAGTTCTTCCAGGTCCACTAATAAATGCCCCAAAGGGTATATGACTCTACTGTTAAAACCCCAACCCTAAATCATGCAGCTCAAGCTCTGTTGGTCAACAAACTCAGTGCCCTGCATTAAGTGCCCAGAGGCATCCCACTCCAATAAGCCTCAGCCCGAAGGCACTCAGCTCTACTTCTGCGGGCCAGCAAACCCAGCTTCCCCTGTGAAGTGCCCAGAGGCACCCCCTTCCACAAGCCAGCCTCCTGCACAAAAGCATTCAACTTTATTTGCTCAGTGGGTTGGGAAACTCACCACTCTGTCCCACGCTCCAGCTCCTGGCTCTACTTCTGCTCCTCAGATGGTAGAGCTGTCTCTGGATCCAGGAGGCTCACTTTGCAGGGATCTCAGGTCCAGAGAATACGCTTCCCTCCAGTTCTTTTTGCTGGTAATGAGATCTCTCCCTTCCTGCTTCTCAGAGGGCTCATTTGATAGGAGGATAGCACTCCAAGGAATCCTGTTTGTAATCACGCACATGTGAATCCTATCAGTCTCTTCCCCGACTGTCCGACTCGACCCATGCAGGTAGAGGTCATTTAGGGAGTTAGTGCCTAAAAGAGCCAAAGTCAGTCATCCACTGCCCTTGTAAGTGAGGTTCTCAGTTCCTAGTGAGTCGGCATTATGTCACCTACTCGTTTGCTCTGCATTCTCACTACCCTCAACATGATGATTCTGTTCTTTATAGGAAGAAGTTCTAAAGGATTTTGAAGAATTGGCTCAGAACCTCCCATGGTCGGCCCCCATGGCAGTATGGAAAATGAACAACAGTTTCAAGAAGAAAAAAACAAAGTGCAAAAAAACAAATCCAAATTCAAGTAAAGATAAGATTAATAAAGAACAAGGAGGGAAAAGAGCTGAGAGAGATGTTAAAAAAGAATTCATGAGTAATTCGTGGGATTCAAATATTTTAGACTATTACGAAAATCCAGCTATTAAGGAGGAGATATCAACATTAGTAGGTGATGATTTGGCATCTTCCAAAGAAGATGAGACTGAAGACAGCTCAAAAGGAGAAACTGACCTTCAGGTGCTAAAATTTAGGGTCACGTGCAGCAGGGCAGGGGAGAAACATTGCTTCACCTCCAGTGAGGCTGCCAGAGATTTTGGAGGTGCTGTTCAAGAGTACTTCAAGTGGAAGGCGGACATGACCAAGTTCGATGTGGAGGTAGGTTCAGACTGCTGTGGTTTCAGCTTCGAGGTAAAGAATGCATTTCATGAAATGAAAGAAGGAAACTTCGGGATGCCACCTGGTATAGTAAAAGCAGGGCGAGCTAGAGCCCACTGGATCTCAGAAATTGGGCCTGGTGCCGCCTTTCCCGTTGTAGTGGAGAACGTGTGCCTCCTCCCATTGGTTTCTGGTGCACACAGCTGCTGGATTTTGATGGCTTTACAGTGGATAGTAAGTAAGAGGTCAGTAGAGGAGACTATAAGGACGTCAGTGTTCGAATGTTGAGCCTACTACCATTTACCGCCTTACAAGGACATTTACATTATAAAGTTGAAGCAGATTTTTCGAAGTTACTTCGTAGTTTAGTGTGTTTGTTTGGTTGTAGAATGATAGAGAATTTTAAAAGTAAACGTTGCCCTCCAGTCAGGACATCAGTGCAGATACTCCCCCGTGGGCCAGCCCGCCCCTTCCTTCAGTGCTGGTAGATCTCAAAGCCCAGACTCTAGCTCCTAGTGCTGATTCGTGTGTTTCTTCTCCTTGGTCTCAGATCTCAGGTGAGTCACCTATGGGCAGGATGAACTAGAATCTTTCCATCCCTGACGGGCCCCTTGCAGATGACATTTTTACCAAGAAATGATTTTCAATCGGCTTGAAGGCTCTCGCATCTGGAGCAAGTCACTTATTGGTGCCCACACACTAATATTTGCGTATCTCAGAGCTGCTGCAAGAATGAGCAGACTAACTGGGTAACTAGAATATGGCGAAGAGTTAGCTAGGGGCTCAGAGCGTAGAGTCTGGAGCTGTCCACCTGGTTCTGAGCCCAGCTGCCCCACATAGGTCCTGTATGACACTGGATAATTGCTTCATCTACCATAGGGGATGATCAGAGGCCCTGGCTCGAGGGTGCTACTCTGAAATGAGGTCATGAGATCCGAGTGGGGAACAGATCCTGACACTCAGGAAGACGGTCTTATCAGCTTCTGTGAGCTTGAAGAGGAGGAAATGGAAGTGATTTTATTTTAAATAGAAGATTGAGGAACATATTTGAACTTGAATAGCTTATATTCAGTATTCTGTGCATAGGGGGCTAAGAAACTCGGGAATCCACAGGCACGACTTAAGACGAGTCGAACAAAACCACAGCAACGGCGCAAGCGTGGCGTGGTGTCGTTGGATGTAGGTGGAGCATGTCCTTAGAAGTTACTGTGCCAGTGTCTGGCTGCAGTTTTCTGTTTGAAATAGTTTCCAAAAGTGTATGTAAAGCCCCGGCCTTTGCATTTGAAATTTTTTGACAATTCTAGTTATAGCCAACTTAAAAATAGAGTGAATGAAAACATTCAAATCAATACAGGGCTTTGGAGGCTGCAAATCCTTTAGTATATACTGTGTGGTTCATTTAGATGAAGTTTGAAAAATGGCCAACCTAATTGATGGTGCTATTAGATTAATGATTACACCTGGGTGGGGAGGCTGACAGGGAAGGGCCATAGAAGTCCCGAGTGGATGTTTGGAATGTTCTTCATTTTGATCTGGATGGTGGTTCCACAAGTATATATACTGTGTCTATGTGAGTATAAGCCGACCCAAATATCAGCCAAGGCACCTAATTTTACCACAAAAATGGCATTAAAAATGTGCTGGAAAACTCAGCTTATACACGAGTATATACGTGTGTGTAGGTATATATATATAAACTTATTGAGGTATACACTTAAGATTTCTATACATTTCTCTATGCAAAGTATAACCTCAATATGAAGTTAAAATATGAAGGGGTTTCAGAAGTTGTGGGAAAAACCCACAATCTTGTAATTCCAATTTTCCACAAACCTTTTGAAGCTCCTTCATAAAAAAGCCTATCTTATGAAAATATGTACTTTTAAGTGCTATTTGAATAGTCCTGAAGTCATTTCTTCTGTCTTGTATAACCTTATTAAAGGTCCTTTTGAATATTCACGATAATGAGGTTATTGTGGGCATTGCGTTGACAGAAGAGAGTCTCCACCGAAGAAATATTACCCATTTTGGACCCACGACTCTTAGATCTACTCTTGCATATGGCATGCTCAGGTACGAAATGGATTTGTCGTTCAGGTTAAAGTGGCATCTTGGTTTGAACATTCTCTTCAAAATGTGAAGTTTTTAATGAGGTACTGTGGAAACTGGGGGCTCTGCTGGAGTAGTGGCTATGCAAATTTGGCAGCAGCTGAGTGCTTAAGCATTGCTCCTTAGATTCCATCATAAAAACTAAAACCCGTGGCCACGAGTTGATTCCACAAACAGTCCTACAGTGCCTGTAATCCTGGCTCATAGTTTATATTCATACACGAGTCATTTCATGTTTTCTTCTCAGCTTCCTAATCTGTAAAAGAATAATCTAAACTCCCTATTGTGGATTGAATTGTGTCTCCATAAATAAGTGTTTTAAGTCCTAACCCCTATAACTGGGATTATACTATTTAGGCATGGGTTTTCTTTATTTAATGAGACTTTATTACTATATCTTAAGCCAAACTCTTGAAATATAAAAGAGATTAAGCAATCAAGCAAAATAAGCAAAAGCTTGGCCAGGGATGGCAAGTCACAAGATCTCAAGACAGAAGCTAAAAGAAACAGAGAGACTCTCCTTAGGGCAAAGGAGGGAGAGGGCCAGAGCCCTCGGGCCAGCACCCTGGATTGAGACTAATAACTCTCCAGTTTGTGAGAAAATAAAACGTGTTATTTAAGACATCGACTGGTGGTGGTCCTGTTGTAGGAGCACTAGATGAGGTAAAACTCTCTCACAGTAATAACACCCACCAAGAGCTTAAGTCAAGGCCGAGCAAATACTAAGGAACGACAGCAGTTACTATTAGCAAATGAAGACATTTATTTTATTATTTAAAAACATCTTATTGAAGGCTCTTGCAACTCTTGTAACAATCCATACCTCCATTGTACCAAGCATATTTGTACATATGTTGCCATCATTATTTTCTAGACATTTATTTTCTATTAAGTCCTTGGTGTCAGCTCTTCCCTGCCCCTCCCAAGAAATTTATTTTGAAAATTAATCAGGGATACTTAATTAACAGTAAGCTTATATTGCTGTTTTATTTGCAGCATGTTTGAGCTTTCTCATGTAACCAAACCAAACTGCCATTAAGGCTTGGCCCTTAATGAGTGACCATGTAGGGCAGAGTAGAGCTCCACTGGTGGGTTTCTGAAACTGTCTGTTTTTACAGGAATGGAAAGCCTCTTGCGGAGCGGCCGGTGGTTTGACCTTGTGGTTAGAAGCCCAGAGCTTAACCCATGACACCACCAGGGCTCCCTCACTTTTCATGTACCAAACAATACAGGTTAATATACAAGACAAAGCTGTGTTTTCTAAAGACATGTTTTTAAGTACACTTTAAAAGGTCTAGAAGAATGTAAGCTAACATCCCATCTAGGGAGTGAAATGGGATATCAGATGATAGTCTGGAAGACTGCTTTTGGTTATATGAATGACTTCCTCCCCAAATGCTAGAATGTAGCATTAACAATTAGTTAAGTCCCTTCAAAATAAAGGTAGATTGGTTTTCCTTCTTGATCGCATGAGAGGGCCGTGCTCTTGCAGCTTCAGGACCAGGAATCATGGCCGGCTGGCACCGTCTCTTCACACAGGTTCTTTTCTTCTCTTGCCTAGGCTCTGTACTCCCCAGCCTTCTGATGTAGTAGTGGATCCAATGTGTGGAACAGGGGCAATACCAATAGAGGTAATAAGTGTTCTTTAATTTTTAGATAGCAAGTGATGTACCAGGAAATGTCTAGATCGAATGTGCACATAAAGACATCAGGAAATGACCCAAGAGTTTTGAAAGAATTAATAATAGTAAAGCGATAGCATTGTGTAAAGGGTGTAAACACTTCTTATAAATAGCCAAGTGGCAACGAACTAGACTGTTAGTAATATCTATTCACTGGGGCACAGAGAAGACAGAAGTACAAACTGGTGACTCCCTGCCCATCACGAACAAGCTGGCAGACTTACTTGGAAGGGAAAGGACAGGTAAAGACAAGCTGGAAGAAAGCCAGTTCGTAACATGAAATCATGCTTATTAATCCACGTAGATTCTTGGAGGAGTTCAGTAAAGGGGAAAACATCTAGACAGTATGTAATATGTAATACTTTACGGGAAATCTAACAAAGTGTCATACTAAGTGCTCTTCAAAACTAACAATGAGATTGAAAGGAGCATAAAAATTGCCTAAACACAAAGCCAGAAATGGAAAGACATTTTCTAAGCTAAAAAAACATGTAGCAGTAGCATCTACCCGATGACATCTGATAAACGAGTTGGAAAAGGGAATCCCCATAAAAATTCCTTAAGTTTGTAAGAACGTGTTCTCCCATATAATGTACCTAAAGCCATGGGAATGAATTGCTGAGAGATTCCGTGAGTGGAGAGGAACTGGAAAGATGCAAGCCATGAAAGGGAAAGTAACCCAAAATGTAATTTGGGATCGACACCCTGACCCGGAGTTAACACCCAAGAAGGAAGTGTTAGTAGACCACATGACTACTGGTCCCTGCTAAATCAATTACTCTGCCTAGAGAAATCCACGTGTTGTGATCAAAAAGAATTATGACATCAAAGCAGATTGTTTTTCTTTTCTATTCACAAAGGAAAAGCTCCAATCCATCTTTTAATTTTTTAAAAAAAGTTCCTGACATTACAGAACTAAACTGAAATGTATTAATATTTCACTCTTACATATCCATGGCAAACAGAAAAAAAAATTCATGAACCCCCCCCCCCCCCAAAAAAAAAAAAAAAAAAAAACGGGAGAAGCTTATACAACCAAATATGGATTTCAGCATTAACAACTGAACAGAGAAAGGAATTAAAACACTTTAATTATAAAATCAAGACTGGATGATAAAGTGTAGAAATTGAAAATTTACAAACTATTTAAAACCTGGAATGGCTGACTGTTCAGAAACTACACAGATGGATCATGGGTGGTGGTGAACAGCAGAAAGGGGTTATGGATGAATCTGCGTGGTTCTAGCTGCTCCCCATGGCATTGATTAGATATATTGAGCCAGGCTAATGCTGGCAGCAGATCCAGTTGATGGTAACCTGCCTATCAGTATATCCTTCCACTGGGTTCGCAATTTTGATCCGTACCCCAGACATCTGACGGAGCTATTGATTTTGGCACCTTGACGCCCAATTATGCAGCCAATCAAATCATTTGGAATGATGATTTCATGAGAAGTAGCCTGAGCAGACGCATCCAAACCTGCCCAATAGCCTTTCACCTCTGGAAAGCTGGATCCAGTGCCACTGAATCTGGCGTTGCCATGCGTCATAGGAAAATGAGACTGTTGCATTGCCAACTGGTGCAGCTTGGTCAAATAATGGCACACTGTTCTTGAATGGTATAGGCCTCTAGAGTGGTCCCTCCAGGTCAGGGTTGAGGCACATGGACGGGTGGTGTGGGAAAAGCTTGCACTATGCTTCCTGTACTGTACCTGTCCTGACCACCTGCAAGGATGACTGGAGAATTGGATGGCTTGGGCCCGTACAGGATGGTCATGACCTTCAGGGGGGACTCCAATATGACCACACACTCAATGATGGATTTCGGAAAGTCAGCAATAGTGATGGCCTGCTCAGTTGGGAAGCATATCTCCAGCCACCTGGACCTGAGCCTCTGTACTCTCACATTTATTTGATGTTGCAACCACCTTTCCCAATGAGAGCCACACTGACTTGCAGGGACCACCAGCCTCAGGCTGACTGGGGGGTCCATTTGTCATCAAGCTGCTGATGTCCTCTTCCAGTTTGTCAATAATCATAGCAAAGGCTTTAAAGATGTCATTAGTGGGTCCAGCCGAAGTGATAATTCTCTCAGGACAGTTTCCTTCTGAGATGTTGATACGTGCACCACTCTCTTCACGCATCTTAACCGAGTCTCCTTTCTTTCTGATAATACTGCCAACTTCCTTTCCATGCATAAGTAGCCTTCAATCACACCGGTGTCCATGTTGAGCAGTGTTCTGGGAAGCTGGACTTTGAGTGGTCACATCTTTGGTCACTGATGGCGGTGAAAGCCAAAAACTGCAGGCGAGAGGTGACTGCAGGTTGTTTTTTTATTCTAGCTTTGAACCATGTCTGAAATAGCAAGTAATGACACGACATGTGAAGAAAGACTTGGCAGAGCTAGAATGAGGCCAGAAACAGGCCCCAGAAATGATGCCAGTTTGAAACGTTTCCATTGGATAGGTATGAAGATGCCAATGTGGAAAAACCTAAGTGATGGATGATCAAAATGAGTAAGATTATAAAAGGTATTCAGAGAGTGCATATACAAATTTGATTACCCAAACATAAAATACATGATCTAGAATATTCCCTTAAAATTTGGACATAGTCTAAAACCCATTTCTTCCCAAGGCTGAAAATCAACAGATGTTTAAAAAAAAAAAAAGTTGGAAACGCAGTATCTCTTGAGAGGCTTTCATTAAATTCTTCCTCCTTTTTCCAAATCTCTCTCGTAGTGCTGGATAATTCAACCTCCCTTTTGTGTGAAAGTCACTTCTGTAAGATTATTAGTAGAGGTGTCTTCTTACCCTCCAGTGCCTCAGTAAGAGTGACGAAGCACTGTATTCACGGATGAGCAGTGTTGCTGTTTACAAAGGAAGACATGTTCGCTACTTACCCTGAAGCAGAGGCTGGAACCTTTCTCTGCTTTTGTAAGAAACCTGTTAATCTGCTTAGAACATTGTTCTGGCCTAGGAAGCTATATCACCCCATTTTGTGAGCAGCTGTTGACATATTTTTTATTTAAAATTGCAAAATCCTATCAGGGATATGGTAATTAGCATTCCAGAGCTTATACAGCTACCCAAAGTAATTGCTTTTTATTTTTAAATTGTCCACTATTCCATATATCAGAATAAATACATTTGCTGATAACTTCAAAGGGTGTAGGTTTGGATGATTGGAGTTGGTTGATTTTTTTTCAAACCACATATATTCTGCAACTAACTGAATGTGTCCAATACGGCTGGGTGAGAGACGCAATGAAACACACCAGCCTTGTGATTTCCCAGGCTTGCTAGGAGGCAGGAAGGCACAGAAAGAACAGACGCAGCGGTTGAGATAGGAACTGGGCTTTTGGAGGGGGGGTAAATGGGAGAAGGCATAAATAAACATGTAGGGTTGATGTCAGAGGGTGTGATATTTGAGCTGGGCCTTAAAAGATGAATAAGAGTTTGGCAAGCAAATGACATTTCAAGCAATGTTTTACCACTTCAGAAACATTGAATTGAATTATCTTGTCTATTGATAACTGAAATGAACCACCCTTAATAATTTTCTGCAGTTCGCAACTTTTGTTGTAGTATGCACTTCTTATCTTTCAGGGAGCTACTGAGTGGTCTAACTGTCATCATATCGCTGGTGACAATAATCCATTGGCTGTGAATAGAACAGCAAATAACATCCAGTCTCTACTGACCAAGAACCAAATTCAAGAAAGGTAAAAATCTTAAGAGACTGGCCCATCTCTTAGAATCCCCTTTTTAAAAATTTTTGACAGAATCCCTTTTAATGTTGAATTTATGACTATTGCCAAATGCAACGTGGCTCATTTTTTAACCTAAATGAAAATATTACCAAGATTCCACTTAAATTGTACACAGCTTAATCTTGTACATATGAATTAGGTGCAGGTTTGTAGAACAAAGTGTTTTCCATTCAACGTTTCATACATTTTGTTTCATGTCATTGATTGCAGTCCCCATAATAGAATATCACTCCCACCTCCTCCCTGTTTCCCATTTCTATCCCTCCTCCTTTCCTAACCCATCTGAACTTTTATCTTTGGATAAATGCTGCCCCCTTTTGATCTCAAAAGGTTCCTATTCAAAATGTGTATTCTTAAGAACGCGTACCTCCCTAGTACTAATGTTCTTAGAAATCTGGCATGGGGGTTAAGCATTGGACTGCTAACCACAAGATTGGCAGTTAGACCATGGGAGAAAGTTGAGGCTGTCTGCTCCGGCTAAGATTTACAGTCTTGGAAACCTTATGAAGCAGTGTGCTATGGGTTGGAATTGGTAGGGGGGTGGGGGTGGTTTGGCCAGAAAATTGAGCCTGGAAGATCCCAGCCTGCAGGGTGACTAAGGACCATTGTCAAGGGGAGTCCACCAGTCTCCACTCACTTCAAGCCTGGTCCGTTTTATGTTTTGTTCCACATTCTTAGAACTCTCCAGAACATTCTAATGGGATCCCTTTCAACTCAGGAGTCCTCACTTGTAGCCTGCCACCATCTAGTTCTAGTCTCAAGGGCCTTTGAAGCTAATGTTTATGTAGACTTAATTTTTTGCCCTGTATCCTTGATTTCTTCATTCGTTTTCATTCAGAGAGAGACTAACAGTTGCACTTTAGATGGCCACTCATGAGCTTTTGAGACTCCACTACTCAGTTACAGTGGGGTATACAAACTGTTGTGTCGCTTGACCTTGGTGTCCCCTGAGACTGGTCCTGGGCCCCGGGCCCTGTGACTCGTTCCCTCAAGGTGTTTGCTTATGTCTAAGAAGTTTTCATGCTTTGCACCCTGAATGCTCCACTACATTCAGGAATATATTTGCAGCAAAGGTAAATATACATGTAGCGAAAGTCTTTCCAACTTGTACCTTTTCACCTTGTACTTTCACACTCCTGCTTCTGTCTGTGTGCTTTGTGAACAGTGCAGTTTCATTCTTGTCAGGGCTTATTTTGTGAGGCTACATACATACCAAGTAGGATTGCTGGGTCATATGACTGGTTTATTTCCAACTTTTGGAGGACGCACTATACACTTTCCACCTTGCTTGCACGAGTTCACGCAGTCACGAGAGCTCTAATCTCTTTGTACCCTCACCAGAGTTTGTTGTTTTTCTGACCTTTACTTGATTTACACCTCTAATGCTAATGATTTCTGGTGATTTGGGGTTTTTATTCCAGGTTTGTTGGCCTCTTGCATGTCTTCTTTGGTGAAGTGTCTTATTTTTGGCCTTGACCATGTTTAATTGGATGATTTGTCTTTCTTGTTGGGGTGTTGAAATCTATAAATTTTAGAGATTAGCCCCATTTGTTATGTAGTTGCCTTTTTTTTGTTAAACTCCAGCTGTGGGTTCTCATTTTGCTCTTTGAAATCTTTTGATGAATGTCTAATTTTTGTAGGCGGTCTTAGTCATCTAGTTTGTATTCTGCTGTTTGAAGGCCAGCGCTTAGTCACCTGGAAATTCTGCTACTGTGGGGTACCACCCCGCACAATCGAAAGGGTCCAAGGGACAGTTGTGTAATTGAGGGGTAAAATTAAAGACATCAGACAAGATAAAGCATGCAATTCCTTCCCTCTGGGATGGCCATGATCTCAGCAGCCAAGTAGGCGCATTTAAAGCAAAGAGCAAATATATTTCTATTCACGGCTTACGTACACTTAGGGAACATAAAATAGGAGGGGTGTGAGCTAGGGGTATAAACGCAATAGGAAGGGGAGTCACTAGGGGTATACATGTGACAAGATGGGCGGACTCTAAAGTCAAGATGTCAGCCTAACCTTGATTTTCCTTGACCTTGTCTTTGGGCTCTCCTTCAGGGGAACAATCCACTATCCTTATCAGAAGGGAGTGGGCCTCACCTAGGGTGGGTCGGACTATAAGGTCTGATTGCTCTAGATGGCTGATAACCCTCAGGTAGATAACCTTTAAGCAGTTGCCTCTGGGTGTATAGCCATTTACCATGTGTTAGCCAGCAGCTTCTTAGGTTTGGCATGTAATGTGGGGAGACAACCTGGCAAATAACCTTTCTGTATCCCACATGTTAACATCTTATAATTCATTAGATTGGGGTTGGACCCAAGAGTGTGTATTCCTAGCAAGCTCCTAAGTGAGGCTCATGCTATGGGATGTGGATCCCACTGAGTGGCAAGGAGTAAGGGAGTCTTTTTTTAGACACAAGTGGTCGGACGGTTTGGTTTCTATTTTTGTATTATACTGTGATGAAATGAAACTTTATGGTAAGTTTTATTTACCTAAGGTGTTCTTTGAGGCTTATACGGTATTTTTTCTTGTGTTCCCTTTGAAATTTGGTAAAAAATTTTACAGAGTATTTCATTTGTTCACAGCCTCTGTGAACCTTTTGTCTATTCAGCCTGTACTATTTCAGTGAAATTTTCCTTGAGTTTTGAACATTTTGTGGCTTATATCATTTGTTGTGTTGCGGGTATTGGTACTTAAGGTTGCAATGTTAATCTGTGCTTTTAAAAATAACTGTAATGTTGAAGGAACACTGTTCAGTAGCTAGATGCCACCAGCCTATTAGGGAAAAGGGTGAAACTTAATGCTCCCATAAAGATGTACAGCTTTGGAAGCCTTTGGGAGCCATTCAGCCCTGTCCCAGAGTCACCATTGAGTCAGGATCGACTCCATGGCGATTGGTTTTGGTTTTGCCTTGATTGCATCCCCTGGATTCGTTATTAAATATGTACTTAACATTTAATTGCTGCTCAATTTGTGTTCTAATCTCAAAACAAGTCCTTGTCTATTTGCTAGTTGTACATTTCTGTAGGCTTGCCACCAGACTGTTCTCTTTCAAGTGTGTCATCTTGCAGGCTTTTCAGTGTTCTTATTTGCCCCAAGAAGCTTTCACTGGTAATTTCTTACCTCCTCAGAGATAGAATTTACTGCCTCCCCTGGAGCGACAATTTCGTTTATCCGACTATGAAACCTACAGCCCTCTGGAGCAGTGGCGCTTGAACACATCTTTGAGTTAGCAGCCCCACATTTTCCCACAGCACCACCAGGGCCTGTTTGAGCTTCAGGATCCTGAGTCAGAATTGACTCAGCGCCAGCAGGGTTTGTGTGGCTGTGTGTTCGCGTGTATTGTAGGTGAGACAGGTCATTGATGAAAACCAATCTTCACCTTTGTTTAAATGGGTCATTCTTATAGTTTTCCCATTTCAACCATTATCAGGTTTATCTTTTAGAATTCTTCTTAATCATCAGTTATTGAAGTTGTCACTGGTTTTCTCAATGTCTTAGTAGCATTCTATTCTGTATAAGTCTCTTCAGGAAGGTCCCCCCTCCCCCTTCATTTCATACTTCTGAATATGCTGAAGCACTTTGCTCTGTTCCCACAGTAAACCATCCTGGGGTCTGCCCATAGATGCTCTTCAATGGGATGTCTGCAATCTGCCATTAAGAACAGGCTCTGTGGATATTATTGTAACTGACATGCCATTTGGAAAAAGGTAGGAATTGATTTTTTTTTTAATTTTGGAATTGATTTTAAAACATAGGTTTTACCCTTAACTGTTATACCGATTTGTATTTTGAATCTCAACATTGTCTTTGAGCTTGTTCTAAATCAGAAAAAGAAATTTTCTTTTCTTTTTTTCCAGACTTCTTTGGGCCTGCTTTTCACTTAGGAATTTAAGCAGTATGATGACTCACCCATTTTGTTTCTTCTTTTCATAACTCACGAATGCCTTATATAACTACATTTTTAGGATAACCAACAGTTTCACGTTAAAATTATGAATCTGTAATTCACTTTCTAACCCTGGCTTAGGGAAATTTGCTTTTCATTCTAGTTCTCAAGATAAATGATTTTTGAGAATTTGTCTATACAATTTGCATACATTCACTAAGAAAACGAGGTTGAAAATTATTATGGTTGTACTCTAAGGAGCCCTGGTGGTGTTGTAAGTTACATGTTGGGCTGCTAAAGTCAGCAGTTCAAAACCACCAGCCGCTCCTCAGAAGACGGAGCTTTCTACTTCCGTGAAAAGCTACAAGATGGGGCTCTCTCTCTACTGCCATAGAAAATTAGTCTCGGAAGCCCACATGGGCAGTTCTGTCCTGTCCTGTAGGGTCGCCATGAATTGAAATCTCTTGATGGCATGACTTTTTTTAATCCGTAACTGAAAAATACCAAGCAATGTACTATCACTCATTTCATTGACATGTAATCGCCAAAACCTCTAGCTTCTAGAACTATTTTCATGCCTTAGGATACATCAGATAACTTCTTATTGCAATGAAAAAATTAATGTTTAATTTCGTATTTATCTTCAACAATTAAGTGCTGGAATCGTTGTACCTGTTTATAGGATGGGCTCCAAGAAGAGAAACTGGAACCTTTATCCCGCTGGTCTACAAGAGATGGGCCGAGTGTGTCGGCCTGGGACGGGACGAGCCATACTACTCACTCAGGACAAGAAATGCTTTACGAAGGTGCTGTACAGTAGCCCTGAAGTTCAGCCGGTGGGAACTTCAGGTTGTTCCAAAGGAGAAGTTGGGATACAGTTATTAGATCGGCTTGTTTCCTTTTCTATTAATGTTTCTTCAGGGGGCCCTGGGGGCATAGTGGTTACAAGTTGGGCTGTGGGAGAAAGAGGAGGCTTTCTACTCTGGTAGTTTTGGGAACCCACAGGGGCAGGTCTACCCTGTCATACTGGGTTTCTGCAAGTTGGCATTGACTTGATGACCGTGAATTTGAGGTTTTGTTGAATGTTTCTAACTGGAAACAAAGATCCCTGACTGGTTTAGTAGATGGTCACCCTAATTACTTTGTGCTTTTTGTGTGCACACAGGCCTTATCTGGAATGGGACACATGTGGCGCAAGGTGCATACTGTCTGGGTGAACATAGGGGGTCTTCATGCTGCAGTTTATCTTCTCAAGCGTACCCACCAGGCTTTTGATCATCCTTCAGGACAAGATGGAGAAAAGGGAGCCCCTTGGTAATGCAAAGAGTGAAGATGACAAATGACACCCATCCTTCCCAACCTTGGAAACACCAGTGTGACAAAGGGAGGAAGGGGTGCTTGGGAGCAGTGACTAGTAGGAACAGAAATGCAGTTCATAATGAGGTTATTTCATTTAAAGCTCTGCCCTGCTTAGCAAAAATTATACATGTAATGTGATAGAATTGGAAATAGTCTTAAGAGAAAGCAGAGCTTGTTTTTCAAAGAGTAGCTGAGCAATTAATAATTTTTAAAAGTGCTTTTTAAAAGCCCAGTGAAAAGCCTACCAAAAGGCTTTGGGTTTGGGTTTAGAACTGTTTGTTTTCAGGGTTTGCAGCAGCTCCTGCTGCACACGCATACACGCAGGATGGTGCTCATTATGTGCGCCTCAAACAATGAAATTGGTGACCAGTGTTTGTCCTATGGCAAGATGAACACACAAGACTTTTAGGAACTTTAACCACCAGCCTTAAAAATTAAAATATGCATGGTATTCATATCAATACATAGAACTGAGATACAGATTTATTTACCAAGGAAATTGCAAAGATTGTTCTGAGTAGTCATGTAGAACAGTCCTTTTTGTACATAGAGCTGTGGGACCAACAAGCCAAATTTAAAATAAACTTTTTTTTTCTGTACACAAAGGTGTTATTTCAAAGTATTTTTATCCGTTTCTTAAAAGGTACGAGAATAGATGTGTGTGTGATGAGAAGCCTGAATTTGGGGTCATGGACTGTTCACATTTGCTTGTCCTGGCACGGACCAGCCTGAAGGCCCTTGCTGGGAGTTGTGTGCAACATGCACTGACCTCTAAGAGCAGTGGCTCCCTGGGGCAACCGGCAGTTGGGCTTAGTTTCATGTATTGTCTGTGTTGAATTCCTTGGTGTTCCATTAATTTTGGAGTTCTTGATTACATTCAGCTTACATTCCATGCCGTGTTAGTAATTATAAAGTATTACTACTTACATTACCCTTTGATATTTTACATTTAAAATTTCCTTTAAAAGAAGAAAGAGTTTGCCTGGGTAGCATAACTAATAGACCTGGTGTGGTTTCTGGTACTACCCACACTTGTACCTTGTATCCTGGACTGGAGTTTTCCTCATCGGAATGCATGCCTGCATTTATGGGCTAGACAAGAAACCTCTCATTTCTGGTGCAAAAACCTCAAACCTCACACCAAGGGCAGGGCATCCACAACTGTACAAAACCAAAACCTGTGAGGATCACTCTCTTTCACAGCTGATTTACCAAGTACCTGCCAGAGTGGGCATTTAAAAAATATTTTTAAAGAAATTATTTTTTCCATATAAAATTTATGTTCAAATCCTCAAAAACTTAAACACCATAGCAAAAAATATGGCCAGACTAAATTCAGATGATGCGAGTGTCAAGAGTGCTGTCTTTAGGGTGACATCTTTTTTCCTAGAGTAGTGTTTCACAATCAGGACACGGGAACAGAAAGAAAATGAAGTAGGCTGGGGGTAGAGTTCAGGGCTGCATACTAGCTCATAAGGGAGAGCAGGGCAAAGAACAAATTGGAGACGAAAACTAAATCCAGAAGGGGTGCTGGTGGTCGGTCCATGTAAAGTGGTTTCCAGGAAGTACAGGGAGCAGTGGGATGTAGTGGTCTAGGAGTAAGACCATACATTTAGTTCTGAGAGCAGCATCTAAGGAATCAAAAGATCAGGGAATGAGTTATATACATACTGCTACCTACTAGTTTTCAAACTTTGGAGAGTCTCATGGTTCATGGATATGTGAAAAGATTGATTTTTGAGGGAAAAAAAGTAATGAGAAAGATTGTATGCGTTTAGTGATAAGACAGTTACCTCTAGAAACTGAAAAAATTACTAAACTGTTAAAAGGGGGAAAATCATATAAGCAAAAAAGATTTTACATATTACTTAGCTACTGGGAATATGTACTACCTTGATTTGTGGTACATTGCTAGCAGTCTTGCCACCATTGCTTTTGAACTACCAGCGCAAATATAGATGCTTCTGGGTAAACAATGACATTAAAACATTACTACATACATTTGACTAATACAAGACAGTGTACTTGTGCCAGGTGTCTGATGATTAGTAGATGCTGGTATCGATAAATACGAGTAAATCAGTTAAAGCACATTTGCAGATTCATCGACTTGTTTGGCATGAAGAAGCTTGTTAATTTCATGTCTACACATAGACCTTTTAATGTAAATTTTTTTATCATTAAAAAGTGACATTTGTGATACTTATTATTCAACCAACAATGTCAACTATGATTATTTCTCCAGTCAATGTAACACAACCATTTACTCTTTAAGGTACTTAAGTTTTCGTTTCCATTTTGAATACCTTTGGGTTGTTTTTAAGATTTGAAGGAGCATGTCACATTATTAAAAACACAATTGACGTCAGATAATGCCACAATATAGTTTGCATCAAAACACTATTCAAAATTAGTGTCCTTCATTAAGAAACAATCAAGTAAAATTATTGTTGTCGAGTCAGTTCTGACTCATAGTGACCCATTGCTCAACAAAACACTGCCCAGGCCTGCACCATCCTTCACTGCTGCCATATTTGAGCCCCTGCCTGTATCAACCCATCTCGCTGAGGGTCTTCTCCCCTTTGCTGACCATGATGATCTCCAGTGAGTGGTCCCTCCTGTTTACATGTACAAAGTATAAGACAAAGCCTTCCCATCCTACTTTCTAAGCATCCTGGTTCTAGTACCAACACAAAAATTCAAAAGCATCAATTCTTCCGTCCTTTATTCATTGACCAGCGTTCACACGTATATGAAGCAACAAATTATCACGGCTTAGGCCAAGCACAAGTCTTCAAAGTATTTTTGCTGTTTAGTACTTTTAAAAGATCTTTGCATCCAGTTTGCCCAATTCAATAGGCCATTTGGTTTCACAACTACTTCCAAGGGTTTTAATTGTGGATCCAAGTAAAATTAAATCCTTGATAACCTTGATCTTAGAAAAAAAAGCTCACTGCCATCAAGCTGATGTTGGCTCAGCAGCCTTCTAGGGCAGAAGGAACTGCCCCTGTAGCATTCGGAGACTGATTCTTCCACAGGGCTAGAAAGATCTGGCTGGTGGTTCCAAACTGTGGGCTTTTGAACTTAGCAGCCCAACACATAACCACTAGGCCACCAGGACTGTCATTAATGCTATTTATTAGGTAATAATTAGGTACATTATCATCTATAATCTCTAAAAAGATATTACCCAAAATGTTGGTCTAGTGTCTGTAAAAATATAAATATTTGAATATACCATAAACCCACCATACTAGAAAATTCAAGATTAGGCATCATGATCCATTAGCATTGGCATGAACCCTGGTGGCACACTGGTTAAGCTCCTGTGCTTTGCTCCGATAAGGGTTACTGGACAGGGAATGCTGAGGTCTGTTCACTAGAATGCACAGCAAACCACATCCGTGTCCCATGTCACACAGCCTCTGTTCCTGAGAATGGGGGAAAGACTTTACTATGATGAAAACAGTTCTGACCCGATGGACTTCGTTGGGTAGTCATAAAAATGTGGTCTCTGGCCCTCAAGGAGCAATCTGAAAAATGTAGAGGAAATTACCTAATTACAATGGGAAGAAATGAGACATTCAGAATGTTACAATGTTCAAGTGAGGAACCCAATGAAGGGTCAGGGAGGGCATCAGGTAAGGCTAGCGAGTGATTTTTCTAAATTTCCCATCTGACTTATTGTGGATTATGGTCATGCATTTTAAGTCCCTTTTTAGCATTCCTTTCTCTTTCATCCCAGCCCTTGTTAAGCACTGATCCAGTTTTATCTTGAGGGACTTGCCTAGTGCAGATGTCATAAAAGTGGAATTGTGCAGTGGTGCTGTGAAAGGCCCCTTCCTCTCAATGACATTGTCAGTTATAGGCGCCTCTGATTGCGAGCGCTTTGCTACTAATTGCCATACAACTCGCTCAAGTGGTCTCTCTGCCATCAAATTGCTCTGTCCCTACAACCTATAACACATGCTGCAGCTACATCAAGTTCCTTAAGGAATTTCTCCCTCAGGGAAGCACACAGATTTAGTAACACAACTAAGCACAGCAGACGGGAGTTTATGGAAAAGTTGCTCAACCTCACCGAGTCTTACTTTCCTGTTTTATAAAACAGGTTTACAAATTAGGATCAGACTAAACACTGGTGAAGAGGTTAACTCACTACCTAGGTACACAATTGGCAGTCATGGTAGTTCACTTTTCTGATACCCATGTTTCCATTAGCTTAGCCTATTGTATATACTAGAATATATTGTTCTATTTATGACAGTGAACAATACCTTGAAGTCTCGGGTGAGATTGTCACCAAAGGTTAAGATTGAAGAACTAGAGGGGGCAGTGGGGAGGGAGGGGAAACAATGAGCTGATACCAAGGGCTCAGGTAGAAAGTAAATGTTCTGAGGATGATGGCAACAAATGTGCTTGACACGATGGATGTATGGATTGTGGTAAGAGTTGTATGAGCCCCCAATAAAATGATTTGGAAAAAAAAATGATCAAAGAATTAAGACTGAAGACAAACTTGATGGAATCCAGATCCTGGAGGTGGGATTAAGTTACAAAGGGTATGAAATGCCTGTTTAATCTGAGTCAGAACTGACCTGATAGCAGTGGCTTTGCTTTTGGTTTTAACCATGACTCTGCAAATAAAATCAGCCATAAACAGTCTGCACAGTCACAAAGACGTCATACTCCATAGTAACAGTTAAAATAATTCACCAGGTACAACCCTGGCCCCAGTAAAATAGCCCAAAACATCTGATTCTATACTTATGAAATAGTACTTTAGTAGGGAGGCCTAGATAAAGGGTGGTAATAAAGGTCCCAGAGAAGCGTGCCCTCCAATATAAACTAGCAAATAAGCAAGGAATCGTCTACTTGCAAAGCACTGGATTCCCGGGTTTGAGATCTCAGGCCTTACAAAATTAGCACAAGCTGTCCCTACCCTCGAGGCCGATCACTTTCTTAATTCAGGATTAACATCTGAAATAATCCACAACTACAGAACTACACCCAACTTACACTTACAAATCAAGACAGAAAATTCTAAGACTTAACAAAACTTTCAAATTACCCCATGCAGGTACACATACATGTTCAATATACTCAATACATTTCTGCCCTCGAAGCAAAGAAAACAATCTAGCCCAGTGGTTCTCAACCTTCCTATAGCTGTGACCCTTTAATACAATTCCTCATGTTGTGGTGACGCCCCAACCATATTATTTTCTGTCATTTTGCTGTTATGAATTGGGTGACCCCTGTGAAAGGCTTGTCCGACTGCCAAAGGGGTTGCGACCCACAGGTTGAGACCACTGATCTAGTCCTATTTTACAAGGAGATGAGCAGCTGGTTCACTTCTAGTAAAACACGATACCGAAATGGTTGGAAGTGGAAATCCAAGGACAGGCTCACTGGGAGGCAGCTGCTATTTGGACACCACGAGGCATCGTGTTCCTTTAAGGGTGATTCTAGAGATGCTCTATGTAAGGCGCCTTCTGCAGCTAACACCAATTTTACTTACATTGATATAAAATCGACATTAAAAATATTACTGCTGCTATTGACATCGTTGGGTTCCATGAGTCAGTACAACAGAATGAAACCCTGTCTGGTCCTGTGCCATCTTCACAACTGTTCTTGTTAGATCCCATCGTGGCAGCCACTGCTAGTCTTGGAGGGGAAACTGAGATCAAGAAGAAACCCAAAGGCATCACTGAGAAGCATTTCTTTGAAACTGTAATTTCCGAAATACTCTTTTGGTCTGGTAAGTAACTCCAAGTTTTAGTATGTACTCAACGCTCAACTTCACTGGATTCAGCATCTCCTGGTGTGGGATCTCGCAATCCGCATTAAAGAACAACTTAACTCTGACAAGTGAAGGTCTCTGGATGCTACAAGCGACAGCTGGATGGCTCAAACCCACCCACATGGAGCAAACATGGAGCCACACTGAGTCAGAACCAACTTGATAGAAGACAGATCTTAAATACCATTTACCCCTAACATGCCCCACCCCAAAACACCATGTGTATCATGTAACCAAAATTTATTGAAATACTTTTAGCTATATCATCAAAGCATTTGGCATTAAAATGTAAGGCATCCGTATATATACTCGAGTATAAGCTGAGTTCCCCAGCACATTTTAATGACGTTTTTAAAATTAGGGACCTCGGCTGATATTTGGGTCGGCTTATACTCAAGTATATGCAGTTTCTTACATTTCATGAGGATGCAACTTACTTTTATAATTGTTTCCTGTCATTCAGATGTACCCCAAAAATGAAAATTTGGGAAGACTGAAACCTAGGGCTGGGTTTAATATTAGATATAATCCTTTTACACATTAAACATATCACCTTCCATTTATTCCACACTGTTCAGCATAATGAAATCCCACTTTCCTGAAATGGGTCTTCTCTTTTTTTTTTTTTTGAAATGGGTTTTCTCAATCCAATATGTTCCAAATACTTGTTTTCTCAAAATATTGTTTTGGCACTTAGGTATATGGACTTAATACTATAGAATGATGGATTGTTTTAAGATTTGTAAGAGCCCCCCCCCCAAATAAAATGATTTTTAAAAGCCAGAATGCTCCTGAAAAGTAAAATAAGTTCAAGTTTAATCTAGATGTTATATATTTCAGGAGTGTCTCCAATGGTCTCATATGAATTGTAAGTACAAAACTAAAATGATTGCAACCTTAACCATCTGTTTCTCTCTAGGAAAAAGGTTCCAGGAGGTATCCTCAGTTGTTAGCAATAAACCGTAGTCTTGCTCCATAAAATCAGTCCCGGATGAATGTCTCGAGTACACTCGCCTCATCTTTCTCTTCTGTAGTGATTCTAGCTCAGGTCCACAAGAACGAACTAGAAGTTGGGTTTGCTCTGAAAAGTCATTGATGCCTGTCAGAGAAGAAGAGCTCGTACTCTGAGTAAGCACAAAGTTTTATTGAAAACAGCTACTCACATGGGGCATCACAAAGTGAAAGTATGTGGTGCCCTGTCAATCTGGAAAAGGCAGTTTTTATACACAGTTCAGTATGACTAGTACCACGTACGTTTATTAGCGATTCTTCATATTAGTTAACATATATTCTGATTAACAGTTTGGGTAAGCACATTAAGAACATTAAGCACATATTAAGAACATTTTTGTTACATGGGTTTTTTGCACACATTTATGAACTTTTTGTTACATGCTGCTTTGTACATATTTCCTTCAACAACTCAATTCCACGACCCCTCCCGTGTTTGCTCAAGAATTCACGTACACCATTTTTAAAAAAAAGAATCTATTTCCAATACTTCCATGTTGGAATTTTTGTCAGCGCATTCCTCTTTTGATCAAGCTCCCACTAGAGGGTGCAAATCACCAACAATCCAGTATGATTCCTTCCACATAGCTTGTCTTCTTTCTTCAAGATCTTTAGTCAATAAAAATAATTTTCTTCACATTGCAGAGGTAATGCGTCCTGTCTTTAGGGCTATGGTAGCAGGCAAAGCCAAAGAAAGTAAGTCCAGAGAACTAAACAACAGAAGGTTAACACACAATACCCAGGAAAACAGGGTAGGTCCCTCCAGACGAGAGGTGCCCACACTTACTTAGCCTACAGCCCCCCTTCCTAAACAAGTAAGTAAATGAATAATAATACTTCATGTTTACTGCTCCCACTCCGTCCCTAGAAATCTACCTTCTTTAAGTGTACAACAGAAAAATGCTGTGACAAATTTGCATTGATATTTTGAACTACATGTTACAACATAACAAAGAAATGTAAATAAGCCTATCTTGAAGTGTTAAATTATATATATGCAATTGGTTTTCTTTGTTTAAAGATTTGTGACCACAATGAGCCCTTTCACTTAAGTATGATGAAGACAATGCAATCTAAGACTTCTTAATCCAGGATAAACGGTAGTTACCTGCTTTTATATCAGTACTGTTGGTAGTGGTCTTCATATTCAAATGTCAATTCCTAGTTTGCTAGAAATAACTGATAGAAATATCAGTTTTACTTGCAATTTTGGAGATTCTTCTGTGTTTATACTAGAAAATGGCTAACCCCCCACCTAGGGTATATTCATTAAGAATATCTTCAAACTCTCACCTCAAGTCAAAATGGTGAGGTGTTGACAATGGGAAAGGTAAGCATGTCTGTGTCATGTTTTCCTACTGCTGATAAATTTTGTTTATACACCAACATGTAAATAACAGTTTTCATTTTGAATTTCAGTGCATCACCTTGAAGCTATAGATTTGTTTTATTATAATTAAGCGAGCCTGCCAAATAAGCTGTCACTTTTGGAACCAAATCAAGTTATAGTTCATATTGCAGGAACTCTAGCACTGAGTTAAAAGTTAGAAAATTAATCGAGAGCAGCACCTTCTACTAGCCAACAATCTTTTGTATAAATTAACAATTGACTAAATTCTGTTTTCAGTACAAAATTGTCCAATCTGTTAACGAATTGCTTCTGATTTTGTTGATTGCTTTAACAATATTTGCTGCTTTAGTTAGTTTTCTGTCTCAACTTCTGTGCTGTACTACCTGTGAGTCAAGCCAGCCTGTGGATCCTGTTGCTAGAGCATGAGGCTCCTTAGAGACCTGCTTCAAGTTACATTGCTTGAGCTTGAGGCTGATGGATCTTGTCCCTGTGCTTGAATTCAAGATCCCATCAGGACCTGCTTCATTAAGCTTCCTAGCAACTGACTGTTGTTGACTATTGCTGACCCACCCTGCTGTCTGCTGCCTGAGGGCAAACGCTGCCTGCCTTGCCAGAGGGAAGATTCAGTCTGCTTCCTTGACTGTGGATGCGAGGCAAGTGGTAGCCCGTGTTGAAGGACTTCCAGCACAGTAACTGTTGCAACAAAGTGAGCTGAACTGCAGCCTCTATACTATTGTCTGGACTAAATTAGCCGTTATATTCCTTCTTGCTGTATAAACCAATGTCTGGTTTTGTTTCTCTAGAGAACCCTACATAACACAGCATTTCCCCTTCTTTCACAAATTACACATTTACTAAATGCAAGGCTTCCTTACCTGGCAAAGTTGACTTATCAAGCTGTGTAGAGAACCAAGATGTTTTAAAATACTTACATAACGAGTCTTCAAAGCTTGAGTTACGAGACTATATTGTTTATAGGCGAATAAATAAACCCGTAATTCAAATACTCAATACTATGTTGTCTAATTTTTTTCTTAGGTTCAGCCATATTATCTGTAAAAAAAATAAATAAAATTTGTGTTTATTTACCAAAATACAACCATGCAACCAACTCGCTGCCATCGAGTCACTGCTGATTCATAGTGAACATATGACAACAGAAATGTCACTGTGAGCTTCTGAACTCTGATTCTTTAACAGAGTAAGAAAGCCCCATCTCTTCCCATGCAGGGCCTTGTTTCAAACTGTGAACACTGCAGTTATCGTAACCACTACACCAACAGATGTAACAATTTATTCAACAGATACAATTTATATCATTCAAAATACAGAATTTTCTCACCAAAACAAAATATGCCTATGTTATTAGTTTGTGTATGACAAGAGAACTACTAATAAAATGAATAAACTGGGATTCCGCATTAGTTTTATGTATTTGTTATTAAATTGCCATATAGTAAGTTAAATTTACCAAGAAATAATTTAGGAATACATCGTCAATTAAAAATCTGTTGTTTTCATTTCATTTGTCCTTACTTAAATAATTTCCCTTAACACACACCTTTTTACCAATTAACACAAGTGATTTTATAGCCATAAATATTAATGGTTACACTTTTTAATAATTTCATTCATTGTATGAAATTGTAATTGTAATGAAAAATTCAACAAATATATTGACTGTACACTTACGATACCGACACAATCCTGCTATAGTTTTATTAGTAAGCGCTACAAAACACAAAAACATACAGTAGATAAAATGTATAAAAATACTCTAGTGTAAATTGCTGTGTAATTGAAAAACAGCTCCTTATTTCTTTTTATTTTTAAACAACTTATTTTCTATGTGATGTATAAAGATCTACGGTATCAAATACAAAAATTAAAACTAAATATTTCCTGCATTTGCACTGTTAACTGCTGTCACACAATTCAGAATCTAAAATAAATGTTATACATGTCGCCTATTTGTAGTAGTGCAATGTAAACAAGTCATGACAGTGTATTCCTGCAAATGCACACTGGACTGCTCAACAACGAGCGACACTCGCCTGCCAACAATTGCGTGTGGAGACCTGCAGGTGGCCTTGACTACCGACTGGTTATAACTTGCACTTTGTATGTTTATTTAGAAAATAACCACAACTTCAACTCTATTACACAAGGATGAAACACGGACAAATGTTTTATCAAAAATCTTTGTTTATGCTCCTGCTGCCCCTTTGTTTTTATTTACACCCACCAATTGCACCCAAATTACAGCCGCTGGAGGTTCCAGAACCCCTACTGCAGGAAGCACTGGTGTACAAAGTGATGAAGATTTTAAAAATAGAACTCTAAGTAACAATGTTAAGTGCATAACATGGTGGGTATGGTCAGTTTTCTGCTCAAGACTCAGCTTCTTTGAAAGGCAACTACTCTTTACAAGTTTCATTTTGGCTGCAAACATTTGCTAAGCATTTCATACATTTACTTAATCCCGTATTGAGCTTAAAGTCCAGCCTAACACACATCGATCACTTAAAGGTAGTGCTAAAACAAGCAGTAGCATGGGGCCAAGACCACAACCTGACTTTTACCGTCCAGGTCACAGAGGGGAATGAGCACCAACATTCAGTTTAAATGCTGGCGCAAGCTAGAGCTAGCTTATAAAACACTCAACTCATTACCATCGGTTCCAACACATAGTGGCCTTGATGGGATAACGACACTATAACTTTTTCAGGAGTAGAAATCCTCATTTTTCTCCTACAAGATGGCACGTGGTTTTAAACTGCTGAACTTGGAGTTGGCAGCTATGCCACTGACTAATAAACTAATTCCCTTCAGAGAGAAGATGCCACTGAGAAGGGAAAGATAAAGTTAATGGGATGTTCATGTTAGCCAAAATTACTAAGGAAAAAGACTTCAAATATAAAGTAAAACTACTAGTTAAAATAAAAAATAAATAAATAAAATAATTTTTTAAAAAAAAACTACTAGTAATAGCAGCTACAATTATAAAGCAAAGTCCATAAATTTTGGCCAGGTATATGGAATGAGTCTTGTTCCAATGATCATGGGACTGTCTACTTCTGATATCATCTTTCTAGCCCCTGAAGTTGAATTTTTAATTCAACCGAGCCATTTTTAATTGCCAAATGCATCCAGAGTTTGACTTCTAACTTGACAGCACGAGTTTGTGAGAACCAGATACAGTCCTTTCCAGTGATGTACTAAGGAGCCTTGTAAATGATATCTTACCAGTATACCTACCCACTTCTCCCTAATCGGCATGGCGAGAGTCCAAAGACCTCATCATTATGCAAAATAATTGGCATTATCCTAAAATAAGCATATTGGATCACAAAATGGAGGATGACTAAATTATTACAACTGCCAAGCCACCAAGAATTCTAGAACAGGTAAATTGAAATGTAACCGTAACTACCAATCAGCATTACTCTTGCACCTCAGTGTTTACTATGGCTACATATGCCTTGTAGTGGGCAAGGCAGATTTTTACTACTGGCTTAAATATGAAATGCTGGAAAAAACAAGTCTATAATAAGGAGGTATATACAGTCTTTCTGGCATAATGTTAGGCAGATTTTGAGCCTAACTTTTGGGCATCAAACGTTTCCTTAAACTGTGAGTACCAGATTAAAGAATATTTCAGGAATTCTGACTGAAAAGTATTAGAGGCAACAAATCTATCATAGAACTTCCAGTAACTATCTCATATAGAATAAGTTTATGGGATCTGAACGGGGTAGATCTTAAATTGAGCCTCAATCCAGGATTAAATTTAGGGTTTCACAAGCTTAGTTAATTCAGTGTTTATTATACTAATAGTCCAGAAGATTTTTGGGGGTGAAGGGAAGGGGGCAGGGACTGGACACAGGACACAAGAGAATTGTAATCTCTCAAAGATGGGAAGATTCAATAAAATGAATGATTTCACCTGCGAAATGGGTCCTACTAACCACTAGGCTGGCAGTTCAAAATCCATCAGCCACCACTGTGGGAGAAAGACGAGGCTATTTATACTAACGTTTATAATAGCTTAGTTAAGTACCAACACAGGAAAGTTCCTTCATTCCATATTAGGTTAAAGGACATCTTGTTGGGGAGTTTTCACTTTGCTTTTTAAATTTGTAACATTCATTCTTCCAGTGCCCCCCTTTCTTATAGTTGTGGTAGACACCAGCCTTGAGGCCATTAGAAAATGTAACTTTTTCTCTTTTTTTCAGTTATCATTATAGTTGCAACTGGTTGGGGGGTGATACATAGGTCGGTCTTTTGAAACCACCAGCAGCTCCTCGGAAGAAAGAAGACTTGCTAACTCCCAGCGAGTGACAGTCTTAGAATCCCACTTGGACTGTTCTATTCTGCCCCCTAGGGTTGCTAAGAGTCAGACTGACATGATGACGGTGAGGTTTTTCCTTTCTTTTAGTGGGTCTTCAATTTGTTAGCCCGGTTTGTCCTTTTCAAATTCAAGAATCTGGGCAGGTTTATATGGCAAATTTGTGAATTACACAATGGGGGTGCTATTTTTCATCCAACAGACCAAAGATGAGATGTTGAGTTCCAACCTAGCCATGAAAACATCAGTAAAAGCTCCAGATGTGCCAGTAACACATAAGGTAGGACCAGAGTGTCTGGAAATCTTTTGAAGCAATCTGGTTTCATAATCAAACAACCTTCTTTATTCTATGTACAAGAATATATTTTTGGTGAGATATGAAAATACCAACAATCTATAATCTATCAAGGGGCAAGGGTGAGGGAGGGAAGGGGAAAAAAAGAGAGCTGACTCCAAGGGCTCAATAGAAAGTAAATGTCTAGAACAGAATGATGGCAATATATGTACAAGTATGTCTGATACAATTGATATATGAATTGTATGAGTTTTAAGAGCCCCTAATTAAATCTTCTTATAAAAATAAATAAATTTTTGTCCAACCATTATTGGATGAAAGGCTTTGGGAACATCTTGAAGTAATCTCTTACCCATTGCCTGTGCATCCTCAGGCAGGCTGTCTTACTTAAGTTTAAAGCTAAATGATTTGGGGGACCCCGCCGCTCCATTCAAGTCTTCTTACGGTCGGGCTGCAACTTATTTAATGTGACTCTTCTGCCCCAAATCTCTTAACTCCCACCAAACAACCTGGGTCTGATAAGGTGAGTAAGATACTGATATGACTTACCTGTTAACTGAACAGGATTCCCTGATGCTATCCTTCTGCATATAAAATGAGCTCTTTGAGAAGCAGGAGGAGGGATCTCATTACTAGCAGGAGCCGGAGCGGAACACATCCTCTGGACCCAAGATTTCTGCGCAGTAGAACCCATAGGCAGAGCACAGAACAGAGGTGTGTACTTCCCAATTTATGAAACAAGTACAGCCGAGTGCTTCTCTGTAAGAGGCTGGCTTGTGGAGTGAAGTGCCCCTGGCTACATAATTGGGGAAGTAGGGCTTGCTGACCCACAGAAGTAGAGCTACATGCCTTTGGGTTGAGGCTTAAAGGGTCCCTTTGGGCATTTATTAGCTGAACTGAAAGAACTCTGTAACATGTCCTGATAAACAACTACCCTACGCATTTCTCATGGACATTACAACCTGTTAACTTTCTTAATAAACCCTTCAATTATGAATTGTCTGTGGGTTCTGTGTACTTGCAATGGACTTTAGATCCTGAAAGGCTAAGTAGAGAACTCTGAATAAGCAACACTGACTACAGCTGAGCCTCTCCAGGTTGTTATAATAGGATCCAGGGCCTAAGTCTGGGGTCAGCAAACCAACTCTCAAGTCATACAGGGCCTCTTTTGGTATGTGCATGTGACTCTCAAGTAAAACTGAAACATTTTAAGTGATATTATACAGAGAATAGTGATTTCGTTTGTAAAATGTATTTATAACTCTCGAGTAATTTTTAAATTGTTGTGAGAGGCAGGATTGGCTCTTCCATTTCAAGAGTTTGCCAACCTTTGGTGTAGTTGAAACAAATCTGGGAGCCTACCTAGGTTGTAAACTTCCAATTAATGATTTAAACTTCCTTAACAAACTT